TGTCTATTTACTTGTGACCACTTAGTGTAGAATAGCAGAAACAAGAACCCATTTAACAGCGGCACTACACACTATGACAAGCGCCTCACATAAAACAATTTCCCTGTACAATATGTATTTAGTGTCCTAACTAACATGAATACATTCAAACAGTACACATGAAGATCGGGTGTTTGTGAGCCATTCATGCTGTTTTATCATTTCAGATTAGGCACAGGACAGGTAGAGTGATTAGGCGCCTGTCCTGTGAAAATCGGTTTTGTCGGGGCACTCCTTTCCCCACATCAAATTCTATGGCACTTGAATTTAATGATCCCGGCCTTGGCATTGGATTTATAGATCCCAGCTACCAGGTGACCCTGATCTGGGAGTGTTTGTTACGATATGGTTTGGCTAATGTTTGTCGCCTTGCTTTTTCTCTTCAACTACGTCATCGGCCTTGATCTTCTCTCTGTCTCCAGACATTTCCCCATTGTTAAAATCTGCCATGGTGAAACAGATGATCAATATTTCAAAATTTATTAAGTTCATGAACTCAGCAAATAATTTATCGCGAGCGGAACGAAGGAGGATATTAATATCCCTGAACACCCTAGTTTGGGAAAATTTCTTTCACTTTAATTAAAAACTAAATCCCTCTCACGGATTTTTTTTATTGTATTTTTTATTCTTTTTTTTATACCTATCGTAACGTAGTATGATGATCATACTCAGAGTAAAATGCTTTGTAAATGAACACTGACACTTATAGAGACAATCTTCAATGTAAATTACATTGTAATTAAAGTAAGAGAGATTGATTACCACGGTCTTTCGGAAAAGGTAAACACGATGGAAATCAAGTTATATACTCGGTTTTTCAAAGAATACGAATGTAAAAAAATAATATTTGTGATAAAGCAGCTTGAATTAAAACAGAAAAATTCAACAGAATATAACACAAACTTCATTGAATTATATGTGGTGATATATTTCGTTTTGTTTCCAAACCTTGAGTGCGAGAGTTTTTCTAACCGTAATCGTGGTGTCAAAAAATATATTCATACGTAAATAGTAAAGGGAATTCAAATGGTAAATTTTCGGTAAGAAATTTTTAAGGTAAGTTTTATATATATGGGAGAAATACTTAATTTCTTATTAGTATTATTTCCTGACCAACTGAACTATATTTGAATGTTGAAGGTGAGATTAGAGCTGAGAGTGAAACTGAGCTTGCGAGAGTCTGAGTGAGACTCATTCCTTGGGAGTTAACCTTTAGTTTTAACAGTAATTGATATAACTTTCGCTCAGAGTAAGTATATGTGCTTAGACTGTTAGAGTGAAACTAAAAACCAGCCTGGCCATCAATATAGGTATTTAAATGTACTGTTCTTTAGCATCTACTTCTAAATCCCACCATACAACTTTCAAGGTAACCGTTGGGTACCTTATGGCGATTGTAAACAATATTTTCGGCCGTAAACCCATAATATCTCACAGTTTGAGATTTTTGTAAAAAACTTGAGACTAGGCATCTAAAGCTAGACTTTAAAAGGCTTCATAACTGACGATTAATTCTTTTATTTTAGTTAGCCAAATACTTAAATGTCAGCATATAAAACAGAAAAAACAACATTATTTAGTAAAAGTTATAATTTAAAATGAGACTTATGCTCTAATTGACCAGGTTGCTTGGGCACTTGACCTGGGTTTGAATTTTGTCACTGAACATACCTTTTCAGGAGTTTGGGTATTATAATGTAATGGCCAATCCCACTATTTCTTTGTAAAAGAGTAGCCCAAGAGTTGGTGGTAGGTGATGTTGACTAGCCACCTCCTATCTAGTGTATTGCTTCAAAATTTGGCATGGCTAGTGCAGATAGTACTTGAGTAATCTGTGTGAAATTAAAAGAAAACAAAAACATTGCTCTAGTTGTAGGATTAGTTAATGTTAAGTCTTAACTCAGGCTTAAGGCTAAATTAAGAAATTTAGAAAGGATGTGACAAGAGTTATTTATTGTAAATGGACAACTGAATTAATGAGAGATTGTGATAAAGTGATAAAGACCAAGTTGGCTTACAGTTACAAACAGTATAAAGGATAAAAATTTAAGTAATGCGTAATGAATTTAAGAAGGTTAAGTTGACTGCAAATGCTGTGATGGGAGTCGCAAAGGATTATAGTAGATTAAGAGATTTAGTTAAACAGGACATTAAGCAGTTGAAAAGGGTTTGTGAAAAAATTTTAACTGAAAATGCTAACACCAACCATAAGAATTATTTCAAATACATGAAGATTAAACAGAATATTGGGATGATATTGGCCTTTTAGGGATGATAAAGAAGACTATTATGTTGATTATGCGATGGATGGACCTTTATTCTTATGTTTCCTAATGAAGATTTAAGTAGTATTCATCCTGAACAGTTGTTAGATGAAACCCTAATAAAACAAGATGGTCACATTGATTATGAACTTGAGAAAAATTTAAGAAGTTTAAAGAATGATAAGGCTCCTGCACCAGATAATATTTCCCCCGGAGTTTTAAAAGAAGTTAAGGATTAGAAATGTGAGCCATTAGGTACTATTTTTTTAAGATCTTGAATAGTGGGCAGGTACCAGAGAACTGGAAGTTGGCTAATGCTACTCCTCTTTCCACAATATGTCCCAGTAATTATAGGCCTATTAGTCTTACATCAGTGGTAGGAAAAGTTCTTGAAAGTCTGATAAATGATGCTTTACAAAGTCAATTAACAAAGTTTAAAATTTTGTTGATTGGTCAACATGGTTTCACTGTGGAAAAATCTTGCTTACTAATTGTTTGGAATTATTTGAAGAAGTTTCTTCTTATTTAGATGAGGGTAAGGGTGTATGATTGGTATATTTGGATGTTCAGAAAGCATTTGACAAGGTGCCACATAAAAGGTTTGTTCAAATATCTTTATGGGTGTGGAGATAAGTTTGCTTATTGGACAGAAAACTATATTGATGGAAAAAAAGCAGAGGGTTGTTATAAATGGACTTCAATTAAACTGGATTAATGTCCCAAGTGGGTCCCTCAGGACCCAAGTTAGGACCTTTGCTGTTTTTGATTTACATCAGTGACATAGATGAAAAAATGGTCAATATGTTACTTGAATTTGCTGATGATATTAAATTATTAGATGCTGTCATCTGTGAGGAGGAGAATTCTTCATTACAAAAGGATTTATATCATGTGTCAAGTTGGGCAAATAAATGGCAGATGGCTTTTAGATAAAATATATGTAATGTATCTTGGTTATAATGGGTGTTCTGGTTGATTAGTTTCTTAAACAGTGTGCTGTTGCTAGTGATAGGGTTAATAGGATTTTAAGTTGTATCTTCAGAAATATTAAATATATATTTAAAGAGGTTATAAGTTAATTGTATAGGTCACTGCTTAGGTAATGTTTGGAGTGTTATATTCAATTTGGAGATCATTACCTAGGAAAGAACGTTTAATTGTTGGAAAAGGTTCAGAGAAGGGCTACTAACATGATACCTGGGATGGAAAAGTTGCCATACAAGGACAGCTTATGATCACTGAAATTGTTTGTGCTTGAAAAAAGTTAGAGAGGATATGATTCAGGTTTAAAGATTGTTTAGGGAATTGATAATGTTGATAAATTATCTTTTTTCATATGGAATGGTAAGAATAGTAGGACTAGGAGACAGAAATATAAACTAAGACTTTTATTTTTTTAACAGGATAATTGACATTTGGAATGGGTTGTCTTCATATGTGATGAATGCAATAAATTTAAGAGAATTTTAGGGAAGACTTGGTAGATAGTTGAATGACAAGGGCTGATAGACCAATAGGTTCCTTGTTTTTAAATTTTATGCTTTTAGATATCTATAATTAATAAACAGTTTTGTGTTAAAAGAACTATGACTGTTAACCTGCTTGGAATGGTGACTGTTAAATAAAGATTTATGTCACTTAGGTCAGCTGCAGCTCTTTTAATTGGCCATCGTAGGATGATTTTGCAATGCAAGCGTACTGTATGTGGCTATACGAGTATTTTATATAACATCAAGTATGTGCACGTAACATGTATTTTTTGTTTTTATTTAAAATATAAAAACCATGATTACTGTTCTTTATAACCTATTTTTAGACTACGTGTAAATGTTTTATTTGATTTATATGGACTACCTTTAAAGTGAAAGGGTTTTCAATGAAATATAAACTAGTTATTATGGTGACATCATCAATAAGTTATCCAAATTAGTATTATGAAAGGTAATATGTTCCAAACCGTGGAAGGTCAGAATTGACTGTTTGTTATAGTCATACAAGACAGAACACAATGCTCTAAATGAGACCTAATCAGAAGTCGGGCTTTACCTAATATTCCTGTAGATACAACCAAAAACCTTGTTCGCTTTTCCACTCACGAAACACATTGTGTGGAAGGCTTAAAAAACTGATTGATCAAAACACCAAGATCTTTTTCTTTCATAACAGTTATGAGTTGATTTTCATGAAAATGGCAACTTTAATTTAAATAAAGACAGCTTGCATGTATTACCTTGCACTTAGAAAAATTATGTGTCATCTGTTATTTGTTTTCCAAATGATCCAAATTCCTTTTTTAAACAACATTATCCTTCTTATAATCTATTACATCCCAAAATATTAACATTGGCAAAGTTGACCAACTTGTTGACCTTTCTCTTATCAGTATTGTTAATGTATATCAAAAGAAGTAAAGGTCCCTGCACAGAGTCCTGAGGTATCCCACTTGCAGCTCCAATCCAGTTAGACTGAACTCTATTTATTACAATTCTGTGCATTCTCTCTAACCAACCTTTAATTTATTGATCTGACTTAAAGATAATTGTCTTTATCAGTCTTTTACATAGCAATTTGCCAAAAGCTTTCTTAAAATCCAGGTATACCAAATCCACATAAGTACCCTCATCAACATAAGCATTGACTCTTTGAAGAAAATCAAACATTTTTAAGTCAAGATTTTTCTCATGTGAAACCATGCTGGCTATTCAACAAAATTGTAAACTTTTTTTACTGTAGGTGTCTTTAAAAAATTAGTTGTAACATCAGCCAGCTTCCAGTCTTCTGGTCTCTGCTCACTACTCTTTTAATTTTATCTGGCTCAGAATTTTATCATGTCTTAAACTTCTCGATTTTATTCTAATGGTTTCATGGCTATATTAAGTTTATGCACATATACAGTGTTATTTCCCACTAGTAACTTGTCAGGAACTGGAATATTCACATTTTCTATAGTAAAAAGTGAAGAAAAAGAAAAATTTTGATATGGTACATTACCTCCACTCACATAAATAGTTATTCTCATTCAGTACTACCCCAAATATTCAAAAACAATTTTGCATGTGTCGCAAGCCTTGATGTTCCCACCTATCTGGAATTGACTGATTCCAATGCATCTTGCATGTAAATCATTATGTGACAAACCTCCACCAATAAGAGTGCAACATACTCTCTTGACACACACATGACTCCCTCTATTCATTTTTACCAAACTCTAGTTTCTCGTTTGGCAGTACGTGTGTCAAGACATTTTTTTGTGTGCTCTTCATATTGTTCAAATTTGTGAATTTAAATAGTTTACTTTCCGAGTGGAATTTTTTCATTATTTGTTTTTTTATCTTTACATAGTTGACAAATGTTTCAGTTAGCTTAAGTTCCCAGTCTTTTTCTTTTTTTCTCACTCTCAAACTATTTTTCTCCATCAAACATTTGTGTTTGATTTTATATTTCAACTTTGAATTCTGAGGTATCATACCTCCTACTAGTGCTATCACACAAGCTGCAGGTTGGGGAGACCTGTCGTTGGACTTATCTGCCACTCCATTCCACTACCACAGAGGGGGTGCAGGCAGTTCTTTCCTGGTCTCTAACAGTCTTTCTTTCTAACCATGTAAAGAGTCTTTTTACCCTCTGTGGATGCAAGAGTTGTCTATGTCTACTCCTGTCTCTGTCCCCATCATCACATCCAGTGACTGCTTGGGTCCTTCTCCATTAGTCCTGAGATGCAGAACCTTTATTTGGCCACGCACTCAGTCTCTGGAGTTTCCTTCTTCTTACAGAGA